GTCAGTCCCTACAATTACAGTAACCCATCCAGCCAATCACAGATCAGATGCCTGACAGTTAGCGACGAATGGGAATCTGCTGGCCAGTACAGATTACCTTACCAGTTTGATTACGAAGTTTATGAAGTCGAGGCTGATGAAGATGAGACGGTAGAGCAAGTGAAAGGGATAGCTGACGACTACCGAACATATCCATTGTAAGAAATTACATGAAATCTCTTAAAGTAAGAGGGGAGGGTTTCAGGAACAGTTCCCCTTTGCCTTCTTTCACTGAGAGATAGATTGTTTAAAGTAGCCTATTTTTCTAAAATCTTCGAGATCGTTTCCCATTGTAACGGGCGGCCATCTTGGTTTCATATGTAACGAGGGTGCAGACGTCGAGGTGTTGTATTGGTGAGTGAATAGAGGCTTTTTTTTTCTCGCTTCCACCCAACCCATCCCCCGCCCCCTAGAAAGATTTGATACTCTTGAAACCAAGATGCTCGCCCATTACAATAAGCTCTTGATCTCGACGATCTTACAAAAAAATTGAGGACTGTAAAACAGTCTACCTAACTGGAATCGTGGTCGTTTCGCCTGAAGCCCGAATATCAATTCGCCAGACGGCGTTTCGCTCGCTGTTAAGTCGATTTGCCGAGTGACTGACAACAATGTGTAACGCGGCGAACATACTTATCGGAGACGGTATTTTAGTTAACCTTGGATTCCACATGTGCGGTCACTGTCTTTCCACGCTTATACCTTTATTCGAGGTTAAAGAACGACAAATTCGCATCAGACGAATGGACTCTTAAGTCCGGGCGATCTGCCGTCAGGCGAATCGATTTTCGGGCGAAATGACCTAGTACCACCTTACATAAGGCTTGTTATGGACTACAAAAAGACAGACCATTTTAAGGCTGCCTGTGAGATCTTGTGAGAGTGAGTCAATGTTGTGTCAAATTGCTGTTAATTATAGTACCACAGTACCCACCTTCTGGAGGTCAATCAAAATTTGTCAAACATTTTACGTTCTCCTTGTTTATTTTTCCCTACAGTCGTGTTCAGCTGAACAGAAGATTTGGTTCCTCCTCGGACTTCAACCTCTTGGACAAACTTTTGGAGTCACTGCGGGCTCGAGTTACTAGCAATTCCAGCGGTAACAGAGAAGCGTTCGTAAATAGAATAAAGGATGGAATCGCTGAAAACATCAAACCTCAGCCAGCCATTCAGCAATGTGAAACTATCGTAGAGAGTTTTCAGCGGGACTAAATTACAGCATCGTTTATCCTATCGGATTACTGAATATTTTTTTGAGAATCACATAAATAAGATTCCAAACGATCAGACACCAGAAACTAGTGTTCGTTCTAAACTAGAAGCATATAAAACTTAATTGTGTTATAGTTATTGTTGTTTTTGTGTGTTCTCTTTCCTCATGTGTCTAAATGAACGAGCTTTAGTTTGGCACTTTTAAGGTTAAGAATTTTTATAGTGCTGTGATTCGCAAAACAATTATTACTTTAAAATGACATCTCTGTAAAAAGAAATCATTATACCCTGAGGTGCCTACGGTCGAGAAATTCTCAATTGTTCAGAGTTAGTGCAAAACTATTTATTTGCATGTACATAATTATACTATAGAAGATTATTTATCGAAGATATATCTAAAGGTGAATAAAATGCAAGGGTGAGTGTAAAACACGAGTACGTTTTTCTCTGGCGTCGCCACAGGAACAACCCAGCTAAGAAGGAAGGATTCAGTATAAGAAGCGGCGCACAAAGTTTACAAATTCCGTTTTTTTTGTAGCGAAATACCTGTGACCCTTTTAACAAAAAGCGGCGCCGATAATTATCGTACACAACAATTTTAAGACGGAATCCATCAGGAAAATGAGTAATTTCAATTTTCAGTGGACAAAAACCTTGTACCAGAATAATTTCAACAACATCGCAGTCTTTTTTACATTTTGCAAGGGCTATAGATGTGATTAGTTATCTGCAATAACACCAAAGAAAATTTCTTATGAGAGCCCAAGAAAATAAATGTCAAATGTCACAAACTGGCATCTTACGTACCAATTGAATTTTCAGAATTTTACCCGTGTTTTCACAATTCTTGTCTTTGTCTAGTCTTTGGTGTTATTGCAGATAACTTATTTTATCTACAGTCCTTGAAAAATGTAAAAAAAAAAAAAGCTATATTGTTTGAATTATTCTGGTACAAGGTTTTTGTCCACTGATAAATGAAATTACTCAATTTCCTGATGGAATCCGTCTTAAAAATGTTCTCCCACTTTGAACGGGATAACCTGGGAACCAGAGTACGTGTGTTCTATTTTGGTGTCAGCGGTATATAAATGAGAAGATAGGAACACGAGATCAGAAGGTACAAAATCTGAAAAAATGCCGGTCGGAAATTGCTCCCAATCGGGACAGAAATGGCCAGAAAATGTTGGAATTTTAGCGATGGAAGTGTATTTTCCTTACACTTGCGTAAATCAGGAGAAACTGGAAGAGTTTGATGGAGTAAGTAAAGGAAAATATACGATTGGATTAGGTCAGCGTAACATGGGATTCTGTGGCGATCGTGAGGACATCAATTCTTTGTCTCTTACCGTTGTGCACAAGCTCATGGAAAGAAATTCGATCAGTCCCAACGATATCGGCAGGCTTGAAGTTGGGACGGAGACCTTGATCGACAAGTCGAAGTCCGTGAAAAGTGTTCTGATGCAACTTTTTGAAAAAAGTGGAAATTCGAGCATCGAAGGAGTTGACACGACCAATGCATGTTATGGAGGTACACAGGCCCTTTTCAACGCCGTATCTTGGATTGAAAGCAGTGCCTGGGATGGTGAGTTTCATACTTAGTTTGCGATGTGTTAATAAAGGAGTTTTTGACGGGCGATCATGGGCACGAACATGTGAAAAAAATCACCCGTTCTACAGCAGTTGATCATGTGCTTCAAACTTGGGCCTTTCTTCGCATGGCTTTTCTGCTGCATACATCGTATTCTCAGATTTAATCCCTTCTGCATGTTGAAGCCATTTCTCAGGAGGGGGAGGGTGATTAGGCGTACCCAAAAGTAAACCTGGAGTCTGCAAAGCTTTCACTGAAAATGGGACAACGTTCTCCTTGACTGACGAATTTTAGATCCATAATTTGACTTTTTTTAGAGGCCCATACTGTACAGATTATATTAGATGATATTAACATAGTTTGGTCTTTCACTCCTTTCCAAAATATGTGCCAGTATGGTGCCCTTAAAATTGGCTGCAGTTTTCTCTACATTTACTTTTGTAGAAGGAAAGGTCTACAGGCGCGGATCCACACCGGTTTCCACGGTTTTACGGAAATTGGTCAGATTTTTCATAACAAATATCTTTTTTATAATAAAAAACTTTCCAAGTTGAAATTTTGCTCCATATCTGATACAACATGGAAATTAACCTTGATGAAATAATCCGCCGATTTACAAGGCTTTATCCGAGGATAATGAACTGGCCAATATCCCGTATGAATGACTCAGAAACCAAGGAAAGGGGACTTTTGGGAGTTAAAATTAAAAAATTTCCCGGTGGGATATACTTACAGACCCCCCTAGAAGCTTGTATCTTCAGCGCTCGTTTTGGAAATCAGTCAGTATTTATTCTAGATCCGCGCCTGGTCTATTAAAATTATTTTAAATAATATAAAAATGGAAGAACTAAATTTGACACTGACCAGATTGATTGACTAGTGGTTGATAAGACAGGGTTTATTTAAAGGTCGTCTGGCAATTGTTGTTGCTGCTGATATTGCTGTTTATGCTGCTGGAAGTGCCCGTAGTACGGGTGGGGCTGGAGCAGTGGCAATGCTGGTGGGGCCAGATGCACCCCTTGTTATGGAACAAGGTAAGGATGTCTTCTCACAAACAAGTAACTTGAAAGTGTTATTGTTCAATTTTGCCTTTGGTTGAATCTCAACTAATGGCTAAGTTTAAATTGTTTATTTTGCTTAAAACATTCTTTTTCCCAGAGCTGCTAACCTTTTCCCCAGCACCACGGATCAAGAGCTTTGCTGGCTAGTGCCAAACACCGAGTCTGTGTATTTTTTTTCTTGGTGCAAACTCAGAAATTTGAAATGATAACTGTCACGAACAGTAACTGTTAAAAACATGGCAGCTACCTGTATTACACTTGAGCTTTATCCTTGAACCAGCCAGAGCTCTCAATCCTTGGCCCTGGCCAGAATGATTGCAGCTGGATGAGAATAAGTTCAAAAGAGAACAAGTTCATGACATATTCTTATCCCTCCTTTCATGGTGAGACTCCAAATATTATTTGGGAATTCACTGTTATTTTTTTCAAGGTAGAAGTAATCTTCACTGATGCTTTGTTTTGTCCTGTAGGAATGAGATCAATACATATGGAACATGCCTATGATTTCTACAAACCAAACATGTCTTCTGAATACCCTGTGGTTGATGGAAAGCTCTCTGTACGCTGCTACTTTCATGCGTTAGATCAATGTTACAAGAAGTACACCGATAAAGGGAACACACTTCACCAAAAGATACAGTTCACTCTTGACGACATAGATTATGCCATATTTCACACTCCCTTCTGTAGGATAGTACAGAAATCATTAGCTCGGTTAATGTTTCATGATTTTCTATGCAGTACAGAAAGCAGTAATTCTGAATCAGAAGGAGATAGATATGCAGGTCTATTACAATTCAGGTATGTGTGTGTTTACTTATAAATACTTAATGAAATGGCAACTGTTTAATATTTGCCAGGAGAGAATATATCAAAAATTTGTTTTGTGGTGTCAAGTAAAAATAAGAGCCAATTTTGTGATCTGTGTTAAGTGGTCTTGAGGAAAGCCATAGTTTTTTTGTTAGGTAGCATTTATGGTCTTTCAAAACGTAGGGATAACATTTACATGACATATTATTTACCTTATTTCCTCGAATAAGTGTCTATGCTCTAATAAACACCCTCCCCCAAATAAGCGCCTAGGCCTAAGTATTAAACAAGCCTCCCCCTTGAACAAACGTCCTCCTCCCCTCCCCCATTTCATTCTTTAATAGTAGGGATACAAGGAAAACCTGCTTCTTTTGCCACTTTATTGATAACTGTCTGTAAACTGTATAAATTGGACCAAGTTACACTTGATTACCAACAGGAGGACTCAATAAGCGTCCCCCTTGATTAAGCGCCCTCTTTCCAATAAGCACACATCCATTTAGCGAAAATTTTAGATATGGGCCGGGGCGCTTATTCAAGAAAGTACAGTATCTTCACTTCTCTTTTTAATTAACCCCTTTCCTACTGCCACCATTTCACCATGCCACCAACAGTTTCCCTACAAAAATCTGAGAAACTAGCGCAGAAATTCTTCATTGACTATGTTTCAGTACTCTGACCTGGGTAGTGCTTCTGTTTGGTTGAGGTGACCAAAAATAGCCTGTAAATGCAGACATATTCCCAGTTGTCGCTTCTCATCACCCAGAATGTTAATTTACTTTTCGGGTGCAGAGAAGCAACAACTGCAAATGTACGTTTGCATTCACAAGCTAACCCAAATGTGACTCTCCAAAAATTTGAGCATACAGCACTTACTTTTTCACTTCCCCTTTTATTCTGTTTGAGTAACTGTTGTCATTATGATCAATTTAGTAATTCTCTTGATGATATTCTTTCAACTTAGGAATGTCAAACTTGAAGAAACATTTCAAGATGAGGCTAAAGCCAAAGAAATAGAAAAGGCATCAATGAAATGTAGTCAAACCATGTATGATAAAAAGACGGCACCATCACTATTCCTTTCCCGTGAAGTTGGCAACATGTACACTCCATCACTGTATGGCTGTCTCACCTCACTGCTGTTCAGGTACGACTGACAGTAAACTCTCTCAGCAGACACCTCTGTAAAATGGACACTTTCCTTAAAAGGACACCCAGGGCATTTATCAAAAGTCAGAACTGGCCACCTGGACTCAAATCAGAGTTCATTTTGAAAACAAAATACTTTTCTCTCCTCAAATTTTTCGTTTAAACCAGTCACTTCTGTCCATACCATAGACTGATCACTAGATATCCCTGATAAACAATTTATGGCCAGTTCTCACAAATAGTATTAGTGTCCCCTGAGTTAGTTCCTGCATTTCATTAGTCTTTTTGTTTTACTTTTTCCAAGGCAAAAACCTTTCTCTGTAGACACATGTAGAGTTTGTGTCTGCCTTAGACAGTTTACTATACACTCTTTTTTACATAATTACTGAGATCTTTATAAGCTGCAAAGCCATGGGACCCTCACTGGGTCTGTTTAATAGTCAGAGGTGTCTGCTACATACAGGCTCATTTACAGAACAGGCCCCATTTGTTCAAACGTTGGATAGCGCTATCCACCGGATAAATCACTATCCAATGGATAAGTATTACGAAACTTAATTGCGTTACAACTGGGGCCAGGTGGAAAAAGCATTAAGCCTCAATGACATTTGTTTCCAATTGTCACAAGTTGTCTGCTTTATTGAAAGCCTGTTTAATACTGGTTTCCCTTCATTTTTATTAGAACATTTAGGCTGAAATTGACCAAAATTTTAACACAAAATGTTGGTTGCGTATGTACCAAGAGGGTGGGCATTGGGATTTATCGCTGTGGGGAAGGAAGGCTGGAAAAAATAGACTTGTTGCCTACTCCCAAACCGTCCCCTGCCCCTAAGTAGATTAGATGTGCATCTTCAAGCAAGACTCGGACAAGGTGGCTGCCTGTAGCGCTCGTTCTCGACGATCATACGATCGGCAATTAATCAGATCTCTCAATCATACTGTTCACTGTCTTTGAACAGTCTTCAGTGGACACCACAGTTGAATTCCAATTCCCACTGAAACAGCCGGTTTTTAAACGTTTTTACCCTGGGAAGGCACTCTAGGTTTCAAGTTATTTTTTGGACTTGTCTGCCTTGCGTTTATGTACAGTGTTTAACGCTTCGTTTCATCGTATTTGGTTAAACCTTATGAGTTAATTTTTTCGTCAAGAGATTGATTTTTATAAGGCAGTGGCCTTTTTGATTCTCCTTTCATTCTATTTACAGCGAGCCACTTGAAAGTCTAGCAGGTAAACGTGTACTATTCTTCTCGTACGGTTCTGGTCTTGCCTCCGCTATGTTTTCATTTAATATTTCCAACGACATTAGTTCTGGCTCTCCTCTCAACTTATTGGTGACGTCACTCAAGGACATCCCAGAACGCTTAGCGTCCCGGTTACAAGTTGAACCAGAAGAATTTGTGAAGACTCTCACCGCACGCGAAATCACTCATAACAAGAATAATTACTCGCCAAGTTGTTCTGAGAACGAGCTCTTCCCCGGCACCTATTATCTGACGAATGTTGACGAGAAGTTTCGTAGGACTTACCAGAGAACTGTGGACGAATCCTCCAAGGAGGGTTGCATGGTTGTTTGAATTGAACAGACCACAAATTTGGAGAATGGATAGTCAATGCGCTTGGCTGGTTTTCTTAGCCATGGATTCTTTTAATGACTTCGTTGGCAAGTTCTTACATCCATATACTCAAATGTATCTTATTTCTACTTTATGAGCCTTTGGAAAATCGAATTGTAATATATTTTAGCACGTTTGAAATTCACTTCCACTCGAGCACAGTTGTGCCAGTCGGAGCAATGGGAGGTGTTGCAAAACACACGTTCTTGATTTCAAAGTTTACTTTACTTTTGCGGAATGGACAGTCTTGTAACCAACTATTTTGTTAATTAAACTTGCTCGATTGTAATACCGCCATAGAGCTAAGATGTCATCCGTTTTCCCTTATATATTGACTGACCGGTTTTTTCAGGAGAAAAATTTTATCAGAACCCCCTTTTTATCATTTAAAGCAATCTAGTACCCAAAACCCCTTACCTTCCTTGTCACGGCAAGTCGTAAATAGGGAATACAAATGAAAAACTGCTGGAAAATGCTAAAATAGGGATTCAAAGATTTTTCAGAATTTCCTGGTCACGTGTGTTTCGACGGGAAGGTGATTTACCATGTTAATTACCTGGTAATTAGGTTCCTGTGTTTAAATTTGGCTTCTTTTGATCTGTTCTGCTTGGGAAATTAAGGGAGATTTGCCCCTGCTAATTACTTGGTAATGAAGAGTATTTTTTTAACGTGCGATGCCCTTCCAAAACAGTTTTTTGATGTACGAACAAATTAATTTATTTTCTAATTACTTTTGCATAAGTCCTGAGGAAGTATATGCCTACGTAGAATATTATTTTCCGTTTCCAACCATACCATGAGTTAAAATCGAAGGTGATGTTTGGCATGTTAGTGTTTGTGAACAGAGCGTCACTTCATACTCAAAAAACTCATTTCTTGTATAGCACAATGCTATTTTACTTATATGTCTGGTAAATACGGTAAATTCAATTAACTAAATTACACACTTAAAGAAGTTAACGTTTTAAGGCTAACTGGTTTGAGAAAGGTAATAAATTACTTCAGATCTATCGACTGTTTTGTTCCAGTTAATCGAGTTCCTGAAAAAAAACACTGTTCATTTTTCTCTGCTCTTTGCTATCACGTTGGAGTTTCTTTTGATTGTGGGCGTGGCTGAGGTCACATTCTCTGAGGACCTGGATGGGCAAGAGAAAGTTCAGAGAACACAGCAGCTAGTCCGGAAAACTTGGTTCAACGATGAAATTTGTTGGAATGACCAAGACGAAATCGATGAGCCTGAGGATCTTGAGTACCTTGTAGCAGTCTCTTCATGTAAACCTGATATGCTGCATCGACCAGAGCTGTACAAACAATGTGACTNGTTTACTTTATTTTTGCGGAATGGACAGTCTTGTAACCAACTATTTTGTTAATTAAACTTGCTCGATTGTAATACCGCCATAGAGCTAAGATGTCATCCGTTTTCCCTTATATATTGACTGACCGGTTTTTTCAGGAGAAAAATTTTATCAGAACCCCCTTTTTATCATTTAAAGCAATCTAGTACCCAAAACCCCTTACCTTCCTTGTCACGGCAAGTCGTAAATAGGGAATACAAATGAAAAACTGCTGGAAAATGCTAAAATAGGGATTCAAAGATTTTTCAGAATTTCCTGGTCACGTGTGTTTCGACGGGAAGGTGATTTACCATGTTAATTACCTGGTAATTAGGTTCCTGTGTTTAAATTTGGCTTCTTTTGATCTGTTCTGCTTGGGAAATTAAGGGAGATTTGCCCCTGCTAATTACTTGGTAATGAAGAGTATTTTTTTAACGTGCGATGCCCTTCCAAAACAGTTTTTTGATGTACGAACAAATTAATTTATTTTCTAATTACTTTTGCATAAGTCCTGAGGAAGTATATGCCTACGTAGAATATTATTTTCCGTTTCCAACCATACCATGAGTTAAAATCGAAGGTGATGTTTGGCATGTTAGTGTTTGTGAACAGAGCGTCACTTCATACTCAAAAAACTCATTTCTTGTATAGCACAATGCTATTTTACTTATATGTCTGGTAAATACGGTAAATTCAATTAACTAAATTACACACTTAAAGAAGTTAACGTTTTAAGGCTAACTGGTTTGAGAAAGGTAATAAATTACTTCAGATCTATCGACTGTTTTGTTCCAGTTAATCGAGTTCCTGAAAAAAAACACTGTTCATTTTTCTCTGCTCTTTGCTATCACGTTGGAGTTTCTTTTGATTGTGGGCGTGGCTGAGGTCACATTCTCTGAGGACCTGGATGGGCAAGAGAAAGTTCAGAGAACACAGCAGCTAGTCCGGAAAACTTGGTTCAACGATGAAATTTGTTGGAATGACCAAGACGAAATCGATGAGCCTGAGGATCTTGAGTACCTTGTAGCAGTCTCTTCATGTAAACCTGATATGCTGCATCGACCAGAGCTGTACAAACAGTGTGACTGGGTTGACTCTCAAGCAAACTATGAAGCGATTGCCATAACGGAATTGAGTGATGGAGAACAAGCAACCAATTGTTGCCGCCAAGCGTTAGCCGTGAAGAGTGGCTCTAGCCCTGGGATAACGTCGGCATCCAGTGGCCGAAGCTTGACCACTATTAGTGATCTAGAAGTGAATTTGCCGGAACAAAGCCCTCTTCCCTGCAAAATATTCAAGTGTTTCCTTCGGAATTCAAGGATTGCGAGTCGTCGACATCCAATTTGCGAAGAGCTTGAGAGGGTTACAGGCCTTGAGAAACTGAATGGGGTAAGACTAGGCCTGTGGCACCTCAAGAAAGAACTCAAATTTTTCTCCCGCGCTCTACTATCCGAACGCTTAAAAGGCGTTTTTTCGTTCTAGAATATCGTAAAAGACATTTTCCTGGCATATATTACCTAAAAAAAAAAAGTTGGAAAAATGGCCATTTTTCCTACTTTTTTTTTTTTAGGTAACAGGATCAAAACCATGGGTTAACCCCTTTGGAAAAATGTTAATTTTTCGACTTTTTCAACTTCTTGTTTTTATCGCTTAGACAAACGTTTTTTCCTTCCAGAATATCACATAACACATTTTCCTGGCCTCTATCGCCCAAAACAAAACGATGGAAAAATGGCCAATTTTTGACCAAAACCACGGACTAGCCCTAAGGAAAAATCTCAATTTTTCGACTTTTTAAACTTCTTGTTTGTATACCTTAGACAAACGTTTTTTCCTTCTAGAATATCGGAAAACACATAAGGGCCTATAATGCCTAAAATAAAAAGATGGAAAAATGGCCATTTTTGGACCAAAACCATGGGTTAACCCCTTTGGAAAAATGGCAATTTTTCGACTTTTTAAACTTCTTGTTTTTATAGCTTAGAAAGGCGTTTTTTCGTTCTAGAATATCGTAAAAGACATTTTCCTGGCCTATATTACCTAACAAAAAAAGTTGGAAAAATGGCCATTTTTGAACCAAAACCATGGGTTAACCCCTTTGGAAAAATGTTAATTTTTCGACTTTTTAAACTTCTTGTTTTTATAGCTTAGAAAGGCGTTTTTTCGTTCTAGAATATCGCAAAAAGGCATTTTCCTGGCCTATAATGCCTAACCAGAAAAAGTTGGAAAAATGGCCATTTTTGGACCAAAACCATGGGTTAACCCCTTTGGAAAAATGTCAATTTTTCGACTTTTTAAACTTCTTGTTTTTATAGCTTAGAAAGGCGTTTTTTCGTTCTAGAATATCATAAAAGACATTTTCCTGGCCTATATTGCCTAAAAAAAAAAAGTTGGAAAAATGGCCATTTTTGGACCAAAACCATGGGTTAACCCCTTTGGAAAAATGTCAATTTTTCGACTTTTTGAACTTCTTGTTTTTATAGCTTAGAAAGGCGTTTTTTCGTTCTAGAATATCATAAAAGACATTTTCCTGGCCTATATTGCCTAAAAAAAAAAAGTTGGAAAAATGGCCATTTTTGGACCAAAACCATGGGTTAACCCCTTTGGAAAAATGTCAATTTTTCGACTTTTTGAACTTCTTGTTTTTATAGCTTAGAAAGGCGTTTTTTCGTTCTAGAATATCATAAAAGACATTTTCCTGGCCTATATTGCCTAAAAAAAAAAAGTTGGAAAAATGGCCATTTTTGGACCAAAACCATGGGTTAACCCCTTTGGAAAAATGTCAATTTTTCGACTTTTTGAACTTCTTGTTTTTATAGCTTAGAAAGGCGTTTTTTCGTTCTAGAATATCATAAAAGACATTTTCCTGGCCTATATTGCCTAAAAAAAAAAAGTTGGAAAAATGGCCATTTTTGGACCAAAACCATGGGTTAACCCCTTTGGAAAAATGTCAATTTTTCGACTTTTTGAACTTCTTGTTTTTATAGCTTAGAAAGGCGTTTTTTCGTTCTAGAATATCATAAAAGACATTTTCCTGGCCTATATTGCCTAAAAAAAAAAAGTTGGAAAAATGGCCATTTTTGGACCAAAACCATGGGTTAACCCCTTTGGAAAAATGTCAATTTTTCGACTTTTTGAACTTCTTGTTTTTATAGCTTAGAAAGGCGTTTTTTCGTTCTAGAATATCATAAAAGACATTTTCCTGGCCTATATTGCCTTAAAAAAAAAAGTTGGAAAAATGGCCATTTTTGGACCACAAGCATGGGTTAACCCCTTTGGAAAAATGTCAATTTTTCGACTTTTTAAACTTCTTGGTTTTATAGCTTAGAAAGGCGTTTTTTACGTTCTAGTTTATCGTAAAAGACATTTTCCTGGCCAATATTGCCTATAAAAAAATTAGAAAAATTGCCATTTTTGGGCCAAAACCATGGGTTAACCTCTTTGGAAAAATGTCAATTTATCGACTTTTTAAACTTCTTGTTTTTTAAAGCTGAGAAAGGCGTTTTTTCGTTCTAGAATATCGTAAAAGACATTTTTCTGTCATATATTGGCTAAAAAAAAAAGTTGGAAAAATGGCTATTTTTGGACCAAAACCATGGGTTAACCGCTTTGAAAAAATGTCAATCTTTCGACTTTTTCAACTTCTTGTTTTTATAGCTCAGAAAGGCGTTTTTTCGTTCTAGAATATCGTAAAAGACATTTTCCTGGCCTACAGTGCCTAAAAAAAAGTTGGAGAAATGGCCATTTTTGGAGGAAAAGCATGGGTTAACCCCTTTGGAAAAATGTCAATTTTTCGACTTCTTCAACTTCTTGTTTTTACAGCTTAGAGAAACGTTTTTTCGTTCTAGAGTATCGTAAAACACATTTTACTCGCCTATATTGTCTCGAAAAAGAAACGCCTTTGTAGGCACTAAAACAAGAAGTTGAAGAAGTTTAAAACTTGTATTTTTCCAAGGATAGTCCACGGTTTGGGTGAAAAATTCGAATTTTTGTTTGAAAGGTGTAGT